GTGTTCAGATCAGTCGTGAATGAAGCGCTGCTCTCAGCGCTCGAAGCCCGAAGCTTAACAAGCACAGACGTCCAGAGACTTGAAGCTGCCCGGGGAGCGCTACTACGACGGTGCTTTGGCAGAAGAGGCTTTGGTGCAGTTGGTGCTGACGATGCTCCTCGCTCAGTACCTCTTTCAGCGCTGCGGCAGCAGTCTTACTTTGCTGGCTGACATTGCTTCTGAACTTCGCGTCCGCCGGCTTCTATGGCTCCGCGCTGCCTTGCTAGCTGAGCAAGCTGGAGAGGTGCGCCTTGACCTGGCAACTCTGTTTGGGCAGTTGACCTTTCAGCCTGCAGCCCCTGTAGATGCAAGTGGAGAACTGACGGAGTTTGCTCCTACGTTTTTGCACATCTTGGCAGCAGACTTACGAGCTCTTCTACCTGAATGGTCTGGTTTTTTGCCCGGGTGGCAACACACTTTTTTGGCTAAGCCTCGAGCGACCATCGCCAAGCTTCGCTGTCTAGTGGAGCCAACAGAAGCAGCCGAACATCGCCCGGCAAGAGAGCTTGGAGTCAACTCCAGTCTGCCTGCCTCCCCCCTTGTTGGGGATCCTTCTGCCTTGGCCGCTGACTTTTGCATGCTGCAAGACGGGACGTCCCCGCAAAGTTTGACAGATGTCCCTGAACCTGAGTGGCTATAGCTGGGGTCTACTGCGGCGAATGTGCTGCAGGGCCATGGCACAGCAGACGCTCTTTTTTCCAGCATGTTGTGAAAGGTCACAAAGTGAGACATCCGTTGAAAAATAAAGTTTGTCCGCAGTGCAGAAGGCAGTTCACAGAAGTCTCGGCGCGCCGCAGACATCTTGAGCGACAATCCTGTGGAAGTGTTGTGAACAACCACGGCCGTGCAGGCGCTATAGCTGGAGGCCTGGAGCAAGCTCGCTCAGCAGTTTTGGCTCAAGTTCACCACCCTGTGCCGCAAGCCAACCTGCCAAGCAGTTCACGACAGCTTGATGTCCGGGCTTGCTTTCATGGGTGAGGTGAACGAGAGCAGTCCTTCCCACCAACCAGCACAGAAGCGTCCTCGGGCAGACCAACGAGCAGAAGCAACTGGACACAAAGGGAATTTGGAACAACAAGTTCAGCACCTCACCACTCAAGTGCGCAACTTGGTCAAAGTCGTTCAGCAGCACGACCGGGACATCCGAGAGTTAGAAGCGTGGAGCTGCCACACCTTTTTGCTCAGCAAAGACAGTCAGCTAGCCAAGGAATTGCTGACAGCAATGCAGGCGTGGAAGTCCAAGACGCCACCCATTGGGAGCACCGCGATGGACAGTGGCAGGCACTGTGGCGCAGACCTTGCTGAAAGACAGTGAGTTCAAGGCACGACTCGACAAGTTCGGGCCTTTCCACCAATCACTCTCCACTTTGTCTGACATGGAAAAGTCCGTGCAGCTGGCAGTAGCCAAGGAAACCAGAGACCACAAAGTCTTGCTTAAGATTCGGCCACAGCTCTTGCGCCAAGCTGAGTGGAATGAAGCTGCTGATGTTCTGAGTGAGCTTGTAGTTAGGGCTGGTGGTGAAGTAAAGACAGGAGCTGCGCCACCCAATCCACTGATTCGTCAAGTTGGAAAGTAGGCAGTGCGGACACAGGGAACTCGACCGAGCACCCCTGCCGCCAATCCCCACTTTCGAGTGGGTTGCAGGCGTTGAGTTCGTGCTGATTTCTCATTTGATTTGTCCATTCTTGCCCATGGCCCATGACTTTCATTTGCAGTAAACTCTGTGCAATGATTGTGCTTCCACACATCTCTTGTGTGCGCATCGAAATAATGTGGTGCGGGGCCGCGGCACGAGTCTCACAGAGAGATTCAAGCGGACAGACAAGACAAGACAAGACAAGACAAGAGTCTTTGAAGGACCTTTAAGCCTCACTCACAAAAGCCAGCTCTGGCTCGACCGGCCCAGCGACTGCAGTCCAGCACGTCACCGAATCGGCCTCTGACGGATGCATCGAAGCGATAAGCGGATAAGCCAAGTCATGAGAGGCGGGAGAAAATCAACATCAGAGTGCCAGAAATGTGCCACATAGTTCGATCCAATCCCGGAACCTTGGTTGACCCACAAGAATGAACAGAATTCATGAATCTCCCAGGGAGGTCAACCTGCCTGAGGAGTGTTTGTGTTTTGAGCCACACCCATACGTCACCGGAGTCATCTAGTAACGATTACAAATTCAGGTTGAAGGATCAAAAAGGGAACTGCAAAACTACGCCATGCCACACATCACCAAGCTTTGCCTTCTTCGGCTCTACTTCTTCATGCTTCCATTCCACAGCCCCATGGAGGAATGCCACTATAGACATCTATAGACCAAACAGAATCTTGGCTGAAGAAGATCCTCAACTGGAAGAAGGGACCAGGGATGATCGCAGGGTCCTTTCGGAGGTACTTATCAGTCTGGCCCACACAAGAAGGACGTTAGTGGCTTTGTGGCGGACGGTGGATGAGGCGTGGAGTTGACCCATCACGATAGAGGTCGATACATCTAAATACATACATCTTCGAAGCACATGCACATCAGTATTGCAAAACTAACCCCTCATCCCCGTAGAAAATGCATACTACAGTAATGCTTGACAAGTATAAAAACACAAATTCATCAGATCTCGGAACAGAAACACGAACCCACTGTAACAATGTACCTAAAACATCATAAAACCGCATGGATGAACGATTTCGGAACGCATCAATCACCACCTGCACCCCGCTGGACTTGTGGCCTGAGTGGTTCGGGAACTTGACCTGGCCCGATTCCGAGCCGGAGAAACACTGAAACGGAGTGGCACTTCAACATTCAGTACATAGCCCAAGGGTAACTAGGCTGTACATCTTTAAAATGCTTGATACAACATGATATATACAACTCTTTGATGCACTAATGCGACTAATGTACTGCTGAATTCTGGGATGGATAGGCACAAAAAAAGATAACAACAACCCAAACTCCATCAAACTCCATTTGTGCTTGGGGAGCCTGACCTTGAAGCACACCCACCGGGTATGCAAACGGTATGCTTATGCTTCTTTGAATTACTATATAGTTAAATTAACATTATACATCAAGTATTCTTTGGCCTTATCAAACTGTCAAACACCCTGAGGTACGCAATCGTAAGTTCAACCGCAACAGGGTGGCTCCTTCCCACCATGAATCATCGCACCTCTGGACGGTAGGTCTTCTCATGTCTTCTCTGATGCCCGGACTGTCTTCTCTTCGAGCACTCTCAGGCGCCCACGACGTCTCCGGACAGCGCATGACTCGGAAGGACTTCAGAAAGTCGGCCTTCATCTGCCTGGAGCAATCTTGTAGCGCCGCTTGGGGTATGTAAATTGTGTACAGCACTCATGACTGGCATGTTTCTTCAAATCATCCTCTATCACTCTTATGAGTTTGAGGTCAACGCATCACATGCGGATCTATTTCATCATATTTCAAGGTAAATAAAACTGAATCAAATTGAAATGTTCACTCGAGATTTACTCTGCTTTCAGGTTCATTGGAAGTCCATTCGCAAAATTAGTATTGGATGGCACCATAAAGGCCGTCTGAGGCAGTGTTCGTCGTCTCATCCTCTAACGGTTGCCCCGTATGAAGGTTCCTCAACTGCCAACAACAGAAATGTCATACTCTAAATGAACAGGATCCTACTTTGCCAACTTTGGGAATCTTTGGAATTCAACCATGCAACGGCATTATTCTGATGTATTGTGGGATTGACCGGGATAGACATGCAACAGCAATTAACTACAGTGCTTTCTGCACCTGAAACAGGTCGCGACCCGTGGGCCCGTGAATTTCACGAATGTTGCGATAGAGCCCGGACGTTTAAACCGAAAGGTGGAATCCGGCCATCACAGGCCATCATGATAGGGAGAGGACAGTATTGCTTTAAACAGAATCCACCACAGGGGACTCATGAGGACTCGTGTCAGCACGAAGGCTTTTGCCCCCTTGTAGAAAAGCACCTCCACAGCACCAGTTCTTTCTCGAGCCTCCTTGGACCGCAGGTAAAGGAAGAACGCAGCGGACGGTATATAATGGGTGTTGGTGGTGGTGTACAACAAGCAATGGTGTCAAAAAACTGTGTTGATATGTGTATATATATATATATACAAACATACATATATAAACTCATAATTATGCAATATTATGCAATATTGTATAATGGTTTTATATAGCTCAACCACGAAGATCCTGGAACCCATCAACGTTGTTCTGTCACCTTGAACATTGGGTTTGGGTTGTACCTAATTTTCGAACCATGCTGATCCATGACACTAGTGCCCTTGAATGCAAGTGGTCCCAACAGGTATGGTATATATGCAAGCCCCCAATTTGTTCACGCGAGAACAGGTGGGATATCTTGGGATGTTGGCGCGGTCTAGAACCTGCTCAATAATTATTCCTTGCTGATTTGCATCGTGGATGGTTGTTGGCAGCTGCTTGTTGAGTTCATAATCACACGAAGGGAACCCAGTGGACGGCCTAAGATATATATATATATAAATGTAACATATAAATATATACATATGGGGGGTTTACGGTTTAGTGTTTAGGATATATATATATATAACACTAGTTGTTCCATAGAAATATATCAGTCCACCGAACAAACTCCCAGCACAGACCGCCCTCGAGGATGCACCTGCCTGCAAGTGCTCTTGTCCTGCTTTTCGTGCGATGCGATTTTGTTTTGCGCTTGTGCAATTGAATCTAGAAAGTTAGAAAGTGAAGCAATGAATTGAATGGGGTATTAGGATGCTATTAGGTGGAGGCCATCACAAGTAAGTTGGAGGCCATCGCTACTGCACTAGTAACAAGAAGCTACTAGTAGTGCCCTTGCAGCTGAAGTGGATGAGGAATCCATAGGAATCCTGACTACCTGCTTACTGGATACTGACCCACTGCGCCACTCTGGGCCCCAAGAAGTGGTGCAGAATCGCGGTTCCGCTCCGTCATTGGCTTTTCCTCATTGTGCCTTGTCCCTTGCCTTCAGGCTTGCCAAACTCCCTCAAGCTGGCCAAACTCTGTACAAACAGTGCAGGAAATCACATATTAGTTGGCACATACTGCTCGGAGCTCTTGAATCCATTGTCAAGCATTGACTGTACCATGGTTTTGACTTGGGTTTCCACGTTTTTGAAGCTCATGTCAAGAAGCTTCTCTGCCGGAGAGACATCATATCGCACAGGGTGGGGCGGGGCTGGTCCCATCACAGCAGGCGCTAAGCTTTCCGAAACCCTTGTGGGCACTCGTCCTTTTATGTCATCGGGCAAAGCCTCTTTGATGTATCCGGCGACTTCCTGGAAATGCGGCGAGCCCCCAATCAAAAGAATTCGATGACCGCCTAAATCACGATAGGCGGCCTCCACATGCGCTCGGGCCACATCCCGCACATCGACGACGGTCTTGCAGGCATTCTCAATCTCCTGAACGCTTCCGTCCATGTATCCCACTAATGCACTCGCGGAGGTGTTCAGGTGCGGTTGGCCTGGAACCATGGGTCCCAAAATCAGCGTGGGCACCATAACGGTAAGTGTGAAAGGACAAGTAGGGTCTCTGCTCATTTTCCACGCAGTCTGCTCTGCCAACACCTTGGACAAACAATACCAATTCTCCTTTTCTCGCAACAAGTCAGCTGGAGACCAGTCTTCAGAGGTGTAGACGTGCTCAGTAGGAAGGGCTCCGTAGTTCGTATATACACTACCCGTAGATGAAGTGAGCACTACTTTCTTGACCCCCAACCTCTGGCAGGAGGATAGAACATTCTGGGTCCCTTCCACTGCCGGCTTCACAAGTTTTTCTTCTGAGCCACCCTTCATGTAGAAGGGCGAGGCTGTGTGGAGCACTGTTTCACAGCCGCCGATGGCAGCATCAAAAGATCCTGGGCTTAGCAAATCAACTCCTTCAAAGACTTTCAACCTTTCAGGTGCACCTGGCAACTCCAGCAGGTAGGCAGCCTTTTTGGCACATCTAGTGGTGGTATGCACGGTGTGGCCGTCCTCCAAAAGTAGCTTGATGCACCAAGATCCCAAAAAGCCGGAGCCCCCTGTCACGCAAATCGGGCTACTTGGCATGACACGAGACATTATGCTGCAGTGTGAACCCAAACTGCACGAAGCACCTCAGCCTCAGCACCACCCACGGTTACTCACAAAACGAGCAAACAAAAGGGAGCAAAAGATTGCTTGAGCCGGAAGTTTGCATTAAGAACTGGAAATACATCCCTATGTGCATCAGCAGTGCAGCAGTGAGGTCTCTTTCCATGGTGCTTGTCAAAAACCTGTTCCAAGAGGAAAAGAACACGAAACTGAACAAGCAAGTCTACTGGCAATCTAAGACTCAGTACCAATAGAACGTCTTTACAATGGAGGCCATCGGTAGGTAGGGCGCGGAGCGGCCTTTTAAAAAGCCCTAGTCTTTTTCATGTTTTTGGTGTTTGGTGCTCATACTTACAGAATCTCGAGGTTCCTGTCCGGGCCCTGCAGCCTGTCCTTCATCTTCTCTGCTGGCAGGTCAGGTCCTTTAAACAGCAACATGCCGTGTTCGATGCTCCAGCTGCTTTTAGCTAGCTACCTCAATAGCCTTAAAATAATGACTATATATATATGATACATTATAAATATAACATTGCATAATATACAGCACATAGACTGGAAGAGCAAAGTGGTAGGGGCGTTGTTCAAATTGCAAACATGATAAACAAATTAATAAACGTAGCTATTCTTTAGAATAACATTCTGTATACCGTCTAGAGTCTATACCTGGTTTAAAGTGCCCTCTAGCAACAGGTAAAAATTGCTCTCAAGCTATTGCACACGAATGATCATGATATGTTACTGTCAAATCTAGAGAGGTTGCCAAAAGATGTGTTCTTGTACTCATGGAGTGACCTCATCTCTGGTCAAACATCTGAAACTGCTATTGGCCGGAACGTTGCAATTGGTATTCCAGCCACCACGATGACAACCACTAACACCAAGCGCGAGGAAATCAGCTGCAGCAGCAAAGCGACTGTGCAGGGATTCGGGCCAGTGGAATCCAAATTGGGATTTCAACAACCTCTCCTGCGATCTGCATCACTTGCGCTCAATGTTAGCAAACACCCATGGCGGCACATGTATGGTCATGTGCTTCATGCAACAACTCTCTGCTTCACTTAGCCTCTGGGTGAAACCTGGGTGAAACCGCTGGAGTAATCTCATGTGGTGACAAAAATACCCTCCAAAAAAACTCTGGAGGTGGTCGACATCACTGTTCCCACTCGCAGGTCCTTTGCAAGCGTCCTGTGCGGGGAGGCGGCCACTAGGTTCCAGCCGAGCGAAGATCACTGTCATCACTCATCCGTACAAACCATGTGCGCAAGTGAAGAAAGAAGAAGGAGTGCGGTTTTGACCTCACCTATCGCATCAGTTCACGATGCTTCAGTGGAGAGTGGACAATCAAAATTGAAACGCCCCAAAGCTTAGGAAATCACCCTCCCCTGGTTGTCGGATTCCAAATATTCTAGAGTTTACACTCAGGTCTCTGCATTGGAGAGGCTTTCAGCCTTTGGGATCGATCTCATTCCGGCTTGTAAAATAGAAGGAATCTACTACGTCCATGTCGGACACTGCAACAACAACTTTTATCCACAGCTCAGCCTAAACTGATGCTTGCATTCCATAGAATGCCTCTACTATCCTCTACTAACCTCTGCCCTAGATTCCGCTAGTGGTTCTAGCATGTGCAAAAAAAAACCTAACAGTCCGCACCTCCTGCAACATATCAATGCTGGTGCTCCGAGAAACCCTGGCCGTGATGGAGATTGGCCCAAAAAAAACAAGTTTCGGGAACAGGGTTGTGGCTACATATCTTGAATGAACCCACTTAGCCAAAGTGTAATGCGAATCATGGAACTATATTGGGTCAGCAACTTCATGCTTGTTTCAGTTTCTGGGATACAATTGCATTTGGAGAAGAGTCCAGTGTATTTGCAGGAGAGTCTGTTTTTCATGTCGGGATGAAACACACCAAGCATATCCTGCAACTGTTGACTTTGAAAGATGATTTCACGACAACATTGATGACATGACTGCTCACTAATATTGTCACACTTCATGTGGAGTGGTGGATGGGGATATGAACGCTGGCACTTTCTTAGACGAGGGCAAAAAGAAGCTCCTGATGTTCATGCTAGCAAGAACCAAGGTGCCTAGGCTCAGGAATGAAGGTCCCCGTTGTGCGAGATAGGAAAATGGGTGAACTGTTCAAAGCTCTCTGCAATTTCTCTCTGTCCAAAGAAGGTACAGTATATCAATGATCAATATATAATATATCCCCCAATAGCACAACAAAAGCTCTGCCAGAACAAATTTAGTTAGAGTATGTTAGAGTATACCTATGACGTCGATCATTGGCCATGCCAACATCATTGGCCATGCCAACATCTGCAGTGCACGTGTTTGCCTGGACATGCACATCCAGAACTGAATCCGCAAGTAAGCCAAGTTCAGCATGTCAGGTTGTCACTTCGGCTGAGTCCTATGCCGTGCCTGGTGCTGGCCTCAGAGATCAAGGAGGAAGCAGACGGCTTGAGCTCCTCCTGTCGAAGCAAAACGGGATGATAGATAGATCTCACCAGCAGCCTTGGGTTGTGCACGGGCCCGACTGCGTGGAAAACACGGTCTTTTGCTTTTGTGTGGTCATCCATCTCCCGAGAACCCCAAGGTTAACCGATTCGGCTTGTTGGAATGTCTTCCGGTTCCCTGCTTTTGAATGTGAGGGAAGTGTGTAGTGTGTCTACGCTCACATAACCACACCACAAAGGTTACTGTAAATCACAATTAAGTTATCAAAATATCTAGCCATTTGGTGCACTCTGTGTGTGTGTGTCGCTCTGTGTGCTTGTGTGTGCTTGTGTGTCACTCTGTGTGTATGTCGGATGACATGTGCCTATTGCCTCACAGCCATTGGCCACTTAGAGCCAATCAGGATTCTCTGTAGAGGTCCTACTCATTGCACGCATGACCGGTCTTGCGAATGAATCCGGAAGAGAAGCGAAGTCCCCGGTGGCTTGAGGCATCATGTGTCCCATCGCTCCGTTTTGACATGAGGGCCTGAGGGTACTCAACCTGATGATCACTGACCAAGAGGTGATGTGAGATTCAATGGCTAGAAGATGCTAGAAGGATCAATACAACGGCCCTTCTACCGTGCTGACTCACAGAACTTCATCTCCACGCGACATTCCACCCGTTTCCACTCTGGGGCAGTTTTTGATGCAATATGATATGGCCAGAAAGTAACTTAACAGTGCTTTTGGCTCCAAAATCTTTAGTTTCTCACCATGCCCAATAAACTAGCTGTTGATTTGCATCCTTGGACTCCCACCCTCGACCTTCATGCTCTCGTGCCTTGCTACGACGGGCTACCACCCGCGGTTCTGTCACGAGGCCAGGTATCAAAGGCCTCATCGAATGCATGTAGGCATGACTCCTGTCATTGAAGAAGACAAGTAGTCGACATACCGAGCTAAGCATGCCCACCAAAAAGGTTCCCCAATAGCACCGAACACCCACGTGGGCTATGTGTGCAAGAAACAAGGCAAACGCTTGGGAAAAAGAACAAACACATTCAGGTTTGAGAGTTTCATTGGAAGCATCGAAAGAAACAAAAGATAAAAGTAAGTTGACTCTACTTCTCCACTTGGCCAATATTCATCTGGCAAACATGCAGGAACTTGGTCGAAAAATAATCGAACTGCCGTCCCAGCCTCTGTGTCATTGCAGCGACCAAAGAGACACCGGGGGCGGTGGCCTGTCGCTTTCGCTGGGCGCTGGTACCGAAAGCGGCCTAGACAGTCCAACTCACATGACTCACAATATAACCTGCCTCGGCCTCGGCTGGATCCCTTAGCTCTTACCTTTTCTTCAGATCATGGGATTCTTCAGATCCATGATCCATGGACTCGCGAGGTCTGGGTGACCACCTCATACCACCTCACACAAATCCATTTCACACAAATCCATTCAAATTCAATATATATAGTTTTTTTAAAAGAATTTAAAATATATTTCTGAGCAGAATTGATAAACACAATTCTCAAAGTTTCATCCCTGCCCACCGCCCTGGCCAACCCCACAGGGCAGGCCTTTTGAAAGAATGGCTTCTGTAGTCTACCGGAACCCCCACAACGAGCCGCTAAATGTGCAATTGAAAGCATTGGCCGTAGCCAGAAAACCTCCGGAGTGAGCCTGGATTGGGTCGATAGAACCATAGAGTCGAGTAGTTGTCCCATGAATGAAGTCAACCAATGGATGGACTCCACCCAAGTAGGCGACTTTCTTAGAGCTGTCAGAAAAGAACACAATCCTACATCGACTGAGATGAGGACTAGCAAGCATTCGTTAATTTCGCCACTCCGTACGTCCTTCATGAGATGGTCCACAAAACTGATCGAATGAGGTGTCGTTGAGATGTTGACCCGACACCTTGCCGGCGGTGTCGGGGTGAGGTGATCATGCCCAAGCATGGGACATGCTCGCGACAATGTGTAACCATTTGCTGACCATGTCTCCTTCCCAGGGTTTGATTGATTGAAAATCTGATGAAATCTGATTGATTGTGGTAATCGTACAACCAAAGAGAACACATCGCCCCGCATACTCAGTACTCTCCGGCTATCGCAAAGTATCTGATGCCCTCACATCCCGGCTATGGGACACAGAATGGTTCAATGTGGTTCAATGATCCAATGATCACACGGGGGCTGCGAGATCTTCGGAGATGTCTGTTGGGTGTACGTAATTCCAGTATTCAAAGCTCTGTAAAGTGTTGGATCAAACTCCAAACCGGCCGGCTGGTGCTCAGAATCCAGCATGGCCGTTTCTCGAAACATTCTTGAAACAGCACAAGTCTAGACTGGCCAGATTGTTTCTGAAGCGAATGGTTAAAGTGGATCAACTTGGGGGCTGGTTTGGGGTTCTGATTTCTTAGCTACGAAAGGGGGCGGTTTGCAGTCCAATTTCTCTTGGTAGACACACTGGTATCGTCAGGAATTGATGTCCACTCTGTCCACCAAAGCACATTGCAAGAGTTTCTCAACTTTTGATCCCCACCCACATCAATGGAAATGACTGAACTTACTCCAACCTAATAGGAAAAGGAACCTAATCGCGCTAATGGCGATGGCCTCCAACCTAATAGTGATGACCTCCAACCTAAGAGCGATGGCCTTCAACCTTCAAACTCAATTTGATGTGGTGGAATAGGTCGATAGAACCAAGTTCCATGAAGGACTTTGTGGTATGTTCTTCGGTAGTCTTCGCGACGAGGGCATACAATTACATAATCTTTATTTATATAATACAGTGGATGTACAGTATATACATGCCACAATGTTGGACATCCATGGTCCGGCTCATTCCAAACATCTCGAGATGTATCTTATGACCATCTGTGCAGGTCTCGAAGAGACACGGTTCGCATCCATCTCTCTTCTGGGTTGGGGAGCATGATGAAATATGATGTGGCAAATTCAACTTGAAGATCAGAAGCACAATCCTTGTTCTGGGGAAGAATCCAAACTCAGGTCCACACACATCCAAGCCTTTGGTTCAACGCCATCCAACCCTTCTGTGGTCACCACATGCTTCCAAGCGGAGTCGTCTTCTAAGACTTTCTTCACCTCGCGGCCCAAGTAGCCTTTGGAATCCACTCCTTCCCCGAGCTGACCATATATGACATCCATAAGAAGCGATATGGATGTGTGCAAACATGGACCATCTTATGACCTATGACTTGGTTTCAGCCCAGCTCAGCACCACATTGTAGATTACCTGGTGATGTGCGGATCACGACTCTTTGGACGCATCTCAACATGTCGATCAACGCATCTCCCAACTTTGGATTTTACGGCTCAACTTGAATGAAGCCAAGACAACACATGTGCACCAAGCGTGTTGACTGGAAGCCAGACTAGCCCACCTCAGCGGTAGCCAAGTCGATGCAGTTCTTCTCCTGGAAGTCACGCGCCCAGGCCAGGACAACTCCCATGATTGAAAGTTCGGAGAACAAATGGAGCTATGGCAGGCTGAGTGGCCATGGAGAAACATCCCTTCCTGCTTTTAGCTACTTACAGGGTCTTGCAGAAGTAGATATCGTGCATATCTTAAACTAAACTACAGCTTCAATACACACAGTCTTATGATACGCAATGTCTGTAGGCGCATCCGTGCCTGCTGTAATCAGCGGACCCGCTGTGGCTGTCAGGGAAGGTTGCAGCAGTCGACTCAAAGGTGGGTCTACATGTGGAAAGGAGTGAACCGTGAACCGTGAACCATGTTTGGTGCAAAGTCGGACGTTGATAAAGTGGTTCTAAAATGGAGCACCAAGGCACATGCGACAAAATGGGTATTTGCAGCAGTTCCAGGTCATGTAAAGTTAGGATTAATAAATCCTCCCTAGTTAACCCGAGCCCACAACCAGGTCAATGTTTCGCATTACTACTACTACTGCTGCTGCTGCTACTACTACTACTACTGCTACTAGCTACTAGCTACTAGATACTAGCTATTGTTGCTGCTGCTGCTGCTACTACTACTACTCCTGCTGCTGCTGCTACCACTACTACTATTACGACCACCACCACCACCCTACCTACCTACCTACCTACCTACCGACCTACCGACCTACCGACCGACCGACCGACCGACCGACCGACCCACCCACCCACCCACCTACCTACCTACCACCTACTACATGTTTGATGAAATCCTAAAACATGTCTAGGGCTCAGGGTCTATAAATTGGCTTATTTAAAAACAATTAAAAAAACAATCAGTTGACAAGCTGACAAAGGGTACCCCTCACAAGGGCCGGTCCCCCATCAATAATCTGCACTACTACCCCCTATTAAAATGATCCTGTGTCTCTGGCCTTTTCTTTGTGCTTGTTTAAGCTTATTGTGACTACTACTACTACTACTACCACTACTGCTGCTGCTACTGCGACTACCACTACCACTACTATGCTGCTGCTGCTCCTACTACTATTTTTACTACTACTACTGCTGCTCCTACTACTACTACTACTACTACTACTACTACTACTACTACATTACTACTACTACATTACTACTACTACATTACTACTACTACCTCTACCTACTACCTACTACCGACGGCGACTGCGACTGCGACTACGATTGCTCCCTGGGCAGATTATTCAGTGGGAGTGGACCTCGTGAGTGGTATCTCATATCGTCTTGACCTTGTTGACCTACCACGTGGGGGGGGGGGGGAGGGGGAGGTTTATTAATCCGGTCTTCGCATTACAAAAAGGCGGATCTTGGAAAGAGAAGGCTCACCCTTGGTGAAGTTATATAATCCAAAACCCTGTTCGAAAACTGCTCAGAACTGTCCTCCCAATGCCAGCCTCAGTCGAGGCACTCAAGTCAGGTAACTTGCGGGATGGGTGACCTTCGTCCTGTGCACTTGCGTCACACTGTGAGAACACCCTGGGCCAGGCAAACACGTACCTGAAAATTCTGGAAAGAGGCACGAAAGAATTTGTTGTGCTTGCTTGTTAAGCATCCAGTACCTCTGTAGATCCACAATGGCTACACCCCCAGCCGCAAGTATCTGGAAAACAAATCAGCTGGCTCTTTGTCGCACTAGTCAAGTCCAATTGAGGCACTTCTTTTCTTGGTCTACCTGGATGGCAACCAAATGGACATGGCAAAACATGGTGGATTGCACCAAACCGCTGCTTTGGAAAAATTGATATTCTTGCAAGTCATATCAGCCACAAGATCCATCGCAAAACTCTTGTGTGACCTTGTTACAATCAAGATATTCCAAGTTTCGACTGAGGTTTGTAGTGTTTCGAGGTCCACATGCGAATTCATGCCTGCTGCGGCTTATTTTTACATGTATCTGTATGATTGTATGAGTATTATTAAGTATGTATCCCCGTGTGAATTACCCGCTTGGGGTTGGAATTCTCATTTTCTAGTAGGAAACATGTTTGGGGTCTAGAAAATGCAGTGGCTGCACTTTCAGCTCTAGAAAATGATATGGCTGCACTTACCCAAGAATATGAGAAATTACTAGAAAATGAGGCAAAACAGGGATTTGCCAAGTATGTGGAAAGCGCAGGTCCCTCTAGAAAATGGGCCGGGACAACGTCTATGTGGCACTTTTTTGCCGCTTTTCGGCTACGTCGTCGAGTGCGGAGTCAGTCTTTTCCTGACTCTCTCCCATCTGGATGCTGAACATCTCAACTGAGATCACTAAAGCTATCAAAAAAAACAACTATCTATGAACTGCATTCAAGAACTGCATCCACTTGACACCATGCCTAGTGCACGGAAAAGTCTTAAACCATCTTAAACCTAATTGAAGCTTCCGGATCCTTAGGATCAGCGGATCTAGGGCTGCATGCTGATTCCTTCTAGATCGATTCTTTATGATTCCATATGATTCCTATTGATGCCTGAATATGCCTGATGATTCCTTCATCAGCGGTCATCACTCCACGGGGGCAGCCTTCTTGCTACGGATGAAGTCCGACACCTCCTTGACCAAGTGGAGAAAGCCGGCACGGGTGGGCGGAGTACGGCCAAACTGCTGCTCAATGGTGGTGAACAGCTTGTGAACTGCCTCGCCAAATGCAACTCGCCCTCTCATGTTCTTGTACCTGAGGGTGTGGTTCACTACAAAATGGTATTGTCTACTTTAAAAAACAAACATACAGCTTCTACAAAGTGTGCTTGTACCTGAGATCGGCTGTGAATGATCCACTAGAAAATGGTACCACTTCATTTCCACAGGTTTGACACAGCCTCTACAAAATGAAATCTGAGTATATATGCCAAAGATTGCCAAAGTATGTTGAGCCACAGAGTGCTGATGCATTCTGGCGCTTCTTCACAAATCTCTTTCCACGTCATGGTGGAAGCACCCTCGAATGTCATGCGGCAACGGCCAGCGACGTCAAAGATGGGAGATGATGGAAAGCTCTTCTGGTGGATGCTGTAGAGGCGCTTCAGCTGCACCTGTATCGCCATCTTCCCAAGCAGCGAGGACCTCCGGTAGTGTGAAGCATCGGGTTTCTCTGGACAAGTTGCGGCTACTGCCTCGGCCTTTGTTTTCTTCTCCTTGGCCCCACGCTTCTGACGACAGCGAACAGAAAACCTTGACACCCGAATTCTCGGTCCGGCTGGCTTCAAGGCCTTCTTCTCCAACAAAGATTTTGCCTTGCCTCCCTGGCCACGAACCATGGTTGGACCAACGTCCCAAACATCAACTTCATGTATGTTGGACATAGCCGCCGCACTCTCTGCGGAAAGGGTCACCGTCATGAATCCTGTGTTCTCCAAAGGGTGCTCACCTGAGATGGAGTGGTTCCATTTTGTAGTGGATCATTCTTAGCAGATGACAGGTACAAGCTCATTTTGTACAAGGAGTGCTTGAATCCATTACCAAATGACATCAGACTAAAAAGATTCCAAATGACATCTACGGATATCCACCAAAACATACCAAAACATCCAAAAGCAAAGAAAATGTCATCACAGCCGAAGGACAACTCTGGCAATCGAGGATGCACACCAAGCCTTCCAGGCGAACGCTCCACACAATGGAATTAGAAGCACACTGGAAATGAAGGGCAGGTTTCTCGGAAGGGTCCTTCTGCTCAAGCTCCATCACTCTGAAAGCTGGACACGAATTCACTGGTGTCTCTCCTGCATACAGCTTTGACTATCTTTGACTGCTTCAATCCACAGCTATAAGAGACATTTCTATACCATATGGAAACTTTCAGACTCTCGTAGTTCTACAAAATGACATGTCTCAGTCTTACAGTCAACTACCCTCAGCTAGAAAATGATGATACCACATGTAACGCATGGATACATGTATATATATATATAACCACTCTTGAACTCTTGAACTACAGAAATTGAAAAGTGGACACGCGCATACTGTCTCCAACTGTGCGTTTTTTCTCTTGACACTCTCACGCTCCCCTACTGGTGTCTCTCCTGCATACAGCTTTGGCTGCTTCAATCCACGCCAAACGCTGACCACCATCCCAATAGCAACGCAAGCTGTCCTTGAGGGGGTATGGAAGATCACCACGTTGCCAGGCCTGGGCCAGCCAATGTTGCTACACAATGATATTGAATCAGACGTTCTTGTCCAAAAAGGACTCTAGAAAATGATCAAAATGCTAAAGATGTGAGAGGGACAAGGTGCAAAGACATCAAACAAAATCACATATGATATATATATAATATTATATATATAATACATTATAATACTATAATACTATATATAAAGAATTATACACCAAAGAGTACACCAAAGGCAGGGAACGTCAACCGTTCCGGAGGCGAGACAGGCACCTGCAACTCTCGTTGCGCTTGTTGAACCATCTCCTTCCACTTGTCTAATCGGGAAGCCCGGGATTGGTATACAGGATCCAACTTCTCAGCTTCAATCATGGCCAATTTCCTCTCGTTGTACCTGCAATGACTAGAAAATGAGTGTGTCCTAAGGAAACAATGTCAAAGCAACACTACAAAATGACATTCCACTCTCCGGGGTCAAATCCATAACAAACTCATGCTAACTGAACTGACAAAAGCTAAGGCGCTGATACCAATTCAGACCCCTCGAAGCTTTGCGACTATTCTTCGCATTTTTCAGAAAGCCGGTGTCAATGCCGCCTTTCCCAGAGCGCAACCGAAGGAGAAGCCGCCAGAGCCGATTCCACATGTCACCATCTTTGAGTTTCAGTGCTTCAAGCAAAGTGTCAGGAATCTCATTGCCGTCCTTTCCACTCTTTGGGCTGATGAAGCGCTCGTCCCGATATGGTTCCATCACGTTCTCCTTTGTCAAAATTCTATGGAGATTCTCAAGGTCATCGGCTCCAACCAAATCTGGGTCTTGCTCAGGACCTGCGGGTGCATCATCTGGCACGGTGACATCATCGAGGTTGTCCGATGGCTCCATCAATTTGTGATCGACCCGCAATGTGTCCAGGAATTGGATGCAGTCTGGTGAGCCTGGCTTCTCTGCAGGCCGCACCTCTTCCAACTCATCATCCTCATTCTCTGCGGGCTCTTCTGGATCATCCCACTCATAGGCGCCGTTCTGACAAGCTTTCCTGTACATCTTCTCCAGCCGGTCTTCAGAGAATTCACTGCAGCGTGCGACCAGCATCAATGATGACTTCAGGGCCCTGTCGCAGCAGTCGGCAAACCTGAGAAGTTGCATGACTTGCGCTGTGTCGCCACTAGAAATCAAAAACTTATTTAAAACGTTTAAGATCTTTTAAAAGATACTTGAAGAAACCCCGACAAAAAAGGATCCAAAAGGTGTGTCTCACTGTTTGTCAATGTTCATGTCTAGTCACCTGCTTAAAAGAATAATGGACAATAGTATACAATATTATACAATAGTATACAATAGTACAAGAGTAGGCAAAAGTATTCATTTTCTAGTGAGTATGGTTTTGTATTTTGTATCAAACTGTATCATTTTGTAGTGATTTGTAGTCCAGTAGCTGTTGGTCCGACAGTGGCTTCTCAGCTTTGGCAGGCTTGGGCTTGCTGTGGTTGAGAGTCTTCGAGACCTTGAGAGATTGGCGAGCTGATGCCATGAAGAAGGAGCGGGCGCTGAGCTGCGCCGAGGCCGATTGGGATCGTAAATGCCCGAAGTGCTGCTCAATCGGGAGTTCGCTGCAACGCGCAAAGCCTGACTGCCAACAAGTGAACTCTGACGGCTTGGAGACGCACATGGCCACACCAGCAAGACTGACAGACTGTAATGTGCTCATGGTCTGACCAGCATAGAATAAGGACCCCTTGGGGAGTTGACGCTCTTGACATGCCCGGTCAGCTAAAAGGCGGAATAAGTCCAAACAAATGAAACCACACAAGCCCAGTTCACATCGTGCCCCAATCTCCATGTCTCGGTGGAGTGCTGGTGACAAACACATTGCGCAAACGAGGCTGTGGATGGTCATGCCCTTCAGCGCCCAGTGCACCGATAGAGATGAAAGAGGAACATTTTCCTGCGAATCCCAATCGAGCCAACAAATTCTTTAAAACTATCATCCTACAAAATGGCATGTTTCTAATGTCACAGTGCAAAGGTCTTACTACAAAATGACACCCTGCACATAACTGCGAGCAAGACTCTGTCACATCTTCAACCAAATACCAGGGATTGTTGTATACACTGCAAAGTTTATCGCTCATCGGACAATTTCTGCTGTATGCGATTGGCGGACAACCATGCGTGACCAATTGCGTGGTGTCTGCGTGGAAATTCCCAAAGAGGATCACTCTCAAAGGGCTGTTGAGTTGTCCCTGGGCGTTCTTTGCACAGTGACCTGACTGGTCATTCTTCTGTAAGCCGGCTCTAGCTCTACAAAATGAAATTAAACAAAAATAAATGAGGGTACAAATGTCTAGAAAATGATATTCCTTCAATAAACCGCAAAGTCTAAGCGACATGGCCCCGGCATGGCCCAGAAAACATCGCCTTTGTGCATGCACACTTTCATCGGCAGTCTTGGCAAATCATTTTTGGGCAAAGGCTGGTGCTTGAGATCACTGAAGAATGGTATTTTGAGTAGTTCCTCAGAGTCTATATCTTCAAATTGGCCATGCACGCATTTGCGCACAAATCCGTGCGTAGTATGTGCATCGAAGCTGATCCCACGGACCAGATTCTGGCTGGCCTGTAAAACGGTCCCTACCGTTTCCAAGACTGTCCAGCAGCCCCTGTGGGTAGCGTGGGCGCCACGGAAGGTGTGCTCGACTGGAAGGGCGCAAACTGACATTGGGCACTTGTCACGACCTTGTGGATCCCAAGTGACAAAATCCAAGAGCGCCTTAGCTCTGGGTACTACAGAGACGTCAATGTCATCGCTCTCCAAATCCAGAAATGCAACGTCAGATTGACCAATTTGGAAAGCACCTCCGACCAAACCCCGGCGTCCATGCAAGCAAGCCTGGGACAGCCCTGCCGTCAAGTAGGTGGCATCAAATGCCATCCAAAGCCTTCCTGGTGGCAGACTCAGACCAAAAATATAGAAATCGTATGAAATAGCATTAGGGAGTTCATGGGAGTTCGCCAAATTTGGATGATTTAACATGAATTAAGATGATTTAACTGTATTGGGCTAGCTCCCACGCACTTGGTCCATCACAAACATTGCAGTTGAGCATCTTTTGCAGTTAGGACTGTGCAACGGGTACCTCGTGTCTAAGATCTCCCAGTTCTCAGCAAGGACTTTCGGCCAATTCAAAGCCAATGCAGGACTTGGCAAACTATGGCGCGAGAGGTCGTCCAAGCATGTCTTCAAGGAGTCAGCCGACAGGCCAAACCTGGCACACTACAAAATGCCAGATAGTTGAATTTTATTCACAACAATGTCACTACAAAATGCACTGACAAGCAATGTGGCAATGCCTAAGAATACAAAAGAATTGCATCAAATGACAAGTGACTCACGGGCAAGCGCTTTGTTCCCTGACACCATGGCCAGGGAGAGGCCTGCATCGGCAATGAGGCTGGTTTCTTTGTCGCTTTCCTTGGTTCTGCGTCCCCGCATGGTTTCGATTCCACGCATCTGCTTGTCCACCTTGCGGAAGCACTGAAGAGCGAGTCCGTGCAGGAGCGGGTGGGAATCTAGCCTGCCATCGAGGGCCCCCAGAGCAATCTTCAGCTTGGACACTTCCGTCTCATCAACCCTTCCCGACGCTATCACTGCAGTGAACCGCGCAGTGATGTCCGAGAAGTCATTGGGAATGCTGGCCACATTCACCTTGATAGCTGGTTTCACCACAGTCAACAAAAAAGCCGCGCTTGCCTCTGTAGAGTTGGAAGCCGGGTTGCTGGTCCAACTGCCCCTAACGTACTGTTGCAGCTTCCCGTTCTTCAGCTTCAAGAGCTTTTCCAAGCCTGATGGGTCCCTTCGATATAGCTCACTGTCTCGAATCTGTTGCTCAATGTTAGCTGCCACATCTTGTGATTGGAATAGCCTGAATGAGGACAAAGAGAAGAGACCCTCACCATATCTGACCACTAGAAAATGAGGTTTCCATATCCCTTCTCCCACAAAGCAATTCTAGAAAATGGTAAGGTACGAAAGGAGTTTGATAGTGTATGATATATCAAGTGATATATCATGATATATCATGTTTATTAATATTTATTATATTTTATTATTGTTTGTTGCATTCATTGACAACCTGGCCTCGCACTCAGAAGCCGGGCGAAGTTGAACTTCATGGAAAAACGAGCAATAGTCCTGGCCACTGCGTGAGCACCTCCAAGTTTGAGGCACTCTGAGCATATATGCCGAGTTTCTGGTTGCTCGTCAATCTCACGCAAGCAATGCGATGAGCGGATGAACCATTCGCCATTACCATCCCGCCAGTAGCAGTGTGCAGCTAATTTCTTCAGGTTGGACATGCTTGCCCAAGTTTCAAATTCTGCCCTGAAGTGGTACAAATTTCCTGCGGACTGGGCATCAGAGATCTGAAGTGCGGCACATGGTACTTGCTTTGTGTCAGGTTTCTGGCCAGATTTTTCCCGTTCGTAGATGGCAAGGCCGCGCAAGTGCTGGACTGAACCACAATGTGAGGCCACAAAATGTTTCACAGTGCGGAGCTTGAGCGTGGATAGTTCAAAGACTTTTCCGTCAGGCGAGGCTTTTGTAGGGCAAAGACGGCATCGGCAAGGAAGCCTTTTGCCATGCTCTCCTGACTTCAACATCTGCAAGAATTCAAACTGCGCCAAGTACTCGAGGGGGTCCATATTGTCATCTGCTTCCTCCTCACTGGCCTCAGCAGGATCTCCGGCAGCGGCATCTCCTTGTGGTTCTTTAGGTTCCTTTGCTTTTGCTGGCGCGATGGCAAATGGGTCAGCATCTCCTCCAAGCGCTCTCTCAACCAAGGACTCCAGCTCACTGGGATTGAAGTTGCACTTCATCAGAAGCTCCTCGCATGCATTGCACGTGTCAGAGGTGCCCGAAGATAGCAGCCTCTGCTGCAACTGCACGTAGCTGCCGTTGGGGCACTCGTTCACCTTCTTCACCTGGGCGTGCCTGGAGTAGAGAAGCAGAGACTACAAAATGACCCTATATATCTCCCAAGCACCATGAAAACCCACTACAAAATGGAGAAACAACTTAGTAATCAATCTCTTGCAAGACGCTTCGCGTGAATTTTCTGAAACTGTGGCCACGTAGCCCCAATCCTTCCCAAGTACTTTCGAACTGTAGCCATCTTCACCTCATGCTCACTCAAGACTGCCTTCTTGCAGCGCTTGTGACTCTTTCTGGCAATGCGAGGACAACCTAGATCTAGTTCATGATCTTCCTCGCCCACCTCAAACTCATCAGCTTCCCTGTGATCTGGCGAATAAGCGACTGCCTGCCCTGGCTTCGCAAGTAGTGTATTTTCCTTCACCTTCTTCCGGCCAAAGGCAGCAGGGCGACACTCCTGAACACTGACCGGCTTCCCCTTCCCTTTTCTCATTGGATGCTTCTCTGTTGACACGGGGGAGCCAGCTTTTTGTTTCGTCGACTTCTTCTTTGGGGTGGTTTCGGTCTCTTCAGCTGCTTTGGTCTTTCGCTTCTTGCCCTTCAATCCTTTGTCATTGTCTTCCTCACGCTCACGAACCTTTGCGGCAGCATCATCCTTCTTGCTTCGCTTCTTGTCCTTGTATGCTTTTCCTGGTTCCTTCATCTTCTCTTTCGTCTCATGCTTGTGCTTGGATTCTTTCTTCTTCTTCTTCGTTTCCTTGGGTTCTTCCCTTCTCTCGTAATGTTCACCACTAGAATCAGGCTCATCTTCTGGGTCATCCTTGAACTCGACATCCAAGCCAAATAGAAAGAAAAGATCACGCCAGGATTCATTGTCTGCTGCGCTATTCCATAAAGTCCGTAATTCCTGAGAAGAGAGGATCAACAAAGCACACAGGATCACACAGGTCTACAAAATGGCTCAAAACCAAAAGGCATGGGGAAATTTTGATGCTAGAAAATGCAAACAAACATCAAAAAATACGCCGTAGGTCTTATTCTTAGTCAAAGTTTCCAGGCGCATGTTGTCTAAATCTTCTTTGTTGAGACTGCGCTTGGTCTTGCCACATGATGACGGGCTGCCATTGCCAAGAGTAAGGAGGGACCATAGAGCACAATTGCCATCTGCTGGCACGGACTCCGTGAAAACGTTCATCTTCTCAATCTCTGTGAAAAGGTTTGCTTGAGACTTGAGGATCTCAGCTCGGGAATCAAGCTCCTTTCGCATATTCACCAGTGTCTCTGGTTCCAACTGAGCTGCGCGGAAATCCAGTTCTTCGTGCTCCTTGGCAAGCTTGGCTTCCTCCAACATCAATAACTTCTCACGGGCCGAACGACATTTGGACCAATTTTTCTCACCCAGCTGCTTCCTGTGCCAGCCAGGCTGGAAATGGTTTATCGTAAGAATGGAGCCCTTCTGGAAGTCGGCTCTGCAACCAATGATGAACCAAGTAGAAGGGTGAGCGATGTCGGGATTTTTCTTCATGTCTGCAATTGCTATTTCATTGCCCTGCACGGTCTCTATCACATCCCGCAGGGAGCGGCAACGCAACTCCGGTTCATCGTCACATATGATGCACATAACGTCCACCTCCCTGGAAATAGCAAGCAAAGCGAGATCCAGCAAACCAAGGTAGGAACCATGTGTACTCACTTTGTCCGCATATCTAGCCTGGGCTGAACCGGGGAACCCGTGATTTGGCCCGGGCTGAACAGGGGGAATTTATGGGAAGCGCCAA